ACCCTCCCACTTTGCAGAGGGCCCATTCATGATTTCAGCAGCCAGGGCCGCGTTCAGGAGGAACTTGTCCTGTATTCATCGGGAGGGGTGATAATAAACTGCCAGCGCGAGGGGCTGGTGAATAAGAGCTGCTGGCACCCGGATGGAAGGGGCCCCTTGTGGTTCCGGACAAAGGACGGCTTGCGCTTTTTCATAAGCTCGTTTTGTTTCTGCAGCCCCTGCCTCCACCACGCAGACACTGCGAAGGTCCATGTCAAGCACACATGGTTTCCACCTTGGCATAGGGGTGTGGGACGCACATTGTCTGGCCCTTTGGGGGCCCTCATGTCTGTCCACATCTACACACACACACATACACTCATTCACTCTATGATGCGGCTCAGCTCCCTGGATATTTATCGGGTGTGCTGCACACACCCCGGGGGGCGGGGGTTTGGCAAGAGTCCTGTAAACCAGGAGGAGACAGCTGGATGCTCACTTCACACTGACTGTGGCGTCTCTTTACTGCTCAGCACCCCCTTTGCCCAATTTAGGAGTCAGTCACCCAATCAGAGAGCAGGGGCTTGGAGTGATGGGTGTTGGGGAGGGTACAGTAAATGAAGGGAGCCCTTGAGTGGGGACAGTTTGAAGCCAGTAATCAGGAAACAGAGGATTCAGACTCACGGCCAACAAGCCCACTCCAACTCCTAGAGATCCTCCAGCAGGTTTCTGAAGCTGTGGTGAGAAGCTGTGCTGCAATTCCAAAGGCACACAGTTCGAATCCACGAGCTGCTCCATGGGAGAAGGATGGGCAGTCTCCTCCTGGAAGAGTAGCCACCTCTGAAACCCCTCAGCTATGCGTCAGTTCCAACTCGATGGTACGCAACCACAACAGACCTTGCCAGGTGGACTTGAACTACCGGGGATGCTAGAGCTTTTGGTTAACAGCAGCACACGCTATCATGGTTCTTTAGAAAGTACTTGTTGTTGCTCTTGTTGTTCTTGTTTGCTGTGAAGTCAGGACTGACTCATAGCTGCCCCTCCAGGGGATTTTCAGAAGCAGTAAATTGCACAGAAGAATGTCCATCCTTCACGCACGTGAAACAGCTGGTGGATTAGAACCATGTGCCTTTGGGATTGCAGCACAGCTTCTTACCTCTAGGCCACTGGAGTTCCCTAGAAAGTGCCTAGCAGCTGACATTTACTGTGCACCTAGCAGCTCGCCAGGAGAGCCTTGGTGGTCTAGTGGGTAGAGAACTGCGCTGCTAAACCAAAGGTGGCGCCTCTCTGGCAGTTCGAACCCACCAGTGGTCCTGCGGGCAAAAGATGGGCAGCCTCTTCTAGTTCAATTTACAGCCTCTGTCAGCTGTGAGTGGATTCTGACTCGCTAGTAGTGACTTTGACCTGGAGTTTGGCTGCATGCCTTTAAACCCGTTCAATGTCCTTTCAGAAGTCCTGGTGGCACAGTGAGTAAGCACCATGATGGTAACGGATAGGTCAGCCGTTGGAACCCTCCAGCCTCTCCTTAGGAAAAAGGAGTAGCAGTCAGTTTGCATAAAGATGGCAGCCTTGGCATCCCATGAGACAGAGTTGTCTGGATGATAGTAAGATTGATTTTGAATTTTTTTTCTGTTCATTTTATATATATAT